TGAAGAAAACGCAGACAGCAAGGAACAGACACGAAACAAGGTAACAGCACCGACCGCAGAAGAGATGTGTCGAACAAAGGCACTCACCCAACCGCCGAGGGAGGCCAGCACCGCCATGACAGTCGTGGATTTGCCGCTCGAGGGAGGTCCTGCCACCGCCAGGGGAAGGCCGCTCTGGGAACAGGTTTACACTGTGGCTTAATGCATGCGCACATATAGATACTCATGGAATGACTGGCAAGCACTGTGGACTTTAATATAAATCTGAATCATGTTACCCAATTTATCATAACAAATATGACTGACAATATGTTGAAAAAATAGCTTTGAAAAGGCTAGTTTATTCAAAACTAAACACGAACCATTTGCGGTATGTATGCCCTTTATTTGTTCGATCTATTATTCATCAGCGTCTATAACAGATACGACAGAACCGACTGGATATCTCTTCACACTGTTTTTTATTTTATTTTATTTTTTTCATTCTCGTGATTTTACAACGTAACTTCTGTTAATTACAAATCCGATCAGTTCACCCAAGACAAAAGTACATTAAAGTCACCTAAACTAATTCATGGTATCAGGCAGGAGTTTAATTCGCTCGCCTTCCTCATACCTTCATAACCCGCTGGAAAAACCATTGCAGTCTCGAGATCTCTAGCGTCGGCCTCACGTGGGCGTCGGCGCCCTCCTCTACTGGCGGTGCGGGCGTCCAGGGGCTCCAGACGGAGGAGGCGGCGTCCCAGCAACAGTCGACGACAGGGCCGCCGTAAGAGGCGAGACTTTGCACCACTGCAAGGGAAAGGAGGTCAGGGGCAGGAGACGGACGTGAGTTTGGGCAAGGGAATGCTCCAAGGGTCAAAAGGGGCAGTGAATGTAAGGACATAGGACACAATTTCGGAAGGCATTGAGAGTGATCTGATTTGTGTTGGAAATATACAGATGGTATGTTAGCTTGCTAACATGACACAAAAATTAAAATCGCTCTGAATTTCCTTACCATCCATGCACCCTCCTTGCAGGATACCGTCCGCAGTCACCTGCTTGAGGGCGGCTTTGAGTGCCAGCAGGAGCTCTGGCAGAAGGGAGACGTCCAGTTGAGCTCGGGTCCCTTGCACCAGCGCCTCCACCACGCGCGCCACCTCCCCCGCCGTGAGTTCTTCTCCTGCGCCGAGTGACGTCAAGCTGCCACCCAGAAGCTCTTCGATTTGCCTTATCTGTGGCGGAAAGAGAATCTGTGTTCTAAAATCACTGCCATTCCATCTTGGCTTTATATAAAATGACCATAAACAGGAATGACGTTCTCTACTTTTTCTTCTAAAATACGTTTTGTATTCTTTCATGTTCATGACTCTTTATCTATTATCGCTAATGTGTCTGCAAAAGGACAAACTGCACTAAACGCGGAAGTACTCGCCCCCCTCCCAGAGAGAAAGAAGAACACAGAAAAGAAAAAAATCCCGGCCCCTCAACCGACCAGATCGACGGCCGCGAGACGGAAGCCGAACTGCCCTGCCGCCACGTCTAACACGGGCTGCAGGAGGCGGTGCACGAGGTACTCCATAAGCATCGCAGGCGTGGCCTCGCTCTCGTCAGCTTGGGAACGGGCGGAGTCTACGGGGCGGGGCGTACTAGGCTTGCTAGAGCTTCTGGGCGTGGCGCTGCTGTGGCTGTGACGGTCCGAGAGCGGTGGGGGCGGAGTCAGGGCGGGGACGGGCAGGATGGAGGCAGCAGAGAGGACGGCCGGGTCGAGCTGCACCACGCACGAGCGCCCCAGGACCCACGCCGGCAGGGGCTCGTCCTCACGCGCCTGGCGGCACAGGGGAGGGAGAGGGTCGTTGAAGTCTCTAGTGCTTGCATCATAGTATCATCATCAAAATCCGTCATAATACCATAGTTACTGTCATCGCAAGTCTATATGTATTGGGTAAATATAACAATAATAAGGGAATTACAATAAATATGATCAAAAACAAATACAACAGTAACAACAATAATGATGATAATAATGATGATGATGATAAGAGCAACCAGAAACTAACAATGATAATGATATAATTATCATTATTAGTATTTTCATCAGCAGTATCATTACCATTATTAACAATAATGGTGATAATCAAAATTTATAATAACAACAATAATAATTATATAATACCAATGATAATACTAATAGTAGTAGTAATAGTTGTAGTTGTTGTAGTACTAGTAGTAGTAGTAGTAATAGTAGTAGTAGTAGTAGTGGTACTAGTAGTAGTACTAGTACTAGTAATAATGATAACAACAATAGTACTGGTAATGATGACAAAAATAATGATAATATTGATTACAATAACAACATTAACTATAATGATAACATCAAATCAAAATCATCATCACTGTCAAAGCCATTGTTTTTTCTCCCTCAAGACCGCCCTTTGATCGCCTGCAGTAACCCAAGAACGAAACGCCTTTCCACCAGACCTCCACGACGAAGGTGATGTTGTGGCCGATCCGCACA